TTAGATCTAGTAGGAAAGAAGTTACGACTGAAAAGTACGGCTGAAGAACCATTTCACCGAAAACTTTTGAGCGCTACTGTATTACAAGGTTCTATGAGTTTCGACCGGTGTCTTGTTCCAAGTCTGAGATGGTTTCTAAAAATTTAGTAGGATCGTGACAGGATATAGCAAAAGACACTCATGAATGAGAGGATCAGCCAGATTATTCAACTCGTGGATTATTCAATTATATTTGTACGGGTACTCGTTCCTTCTTCACAATAACAGTATTGCAGAGCAGTGACCCTACCCTTCCTTCAGATTGTAAAAAAGGTTTTGCGAGATAAGGACTATAAGGTGGTACTCTGCAAAGTAGTGCTTATCCAGTTTGCAAAAGTAGTCCAATAATTCCCTGTTTAAAATGATATCGAACTTGCTCGCCCTTTCGGAAGTTTAAAAAATTCGACTATATGTAGGCGCTCATCATCAAAATTTCCCCTTCTCATTTGCTATTCCTATAAAACCAAGTACGCAGTGAATGCTGATAGATAAGTTCATTCTTCGTGAGACAAAGTGCCAGCTCACTATCATGGCTTCCAAAAGCGAGTGGGGGTGTTCTATCTTGTGGATGGTGAAGCATATTGGGATAGGTCTGGAGAAGGTAGGAGAACACAATATCTCTCACTCACATTCAGATTGCTTGAAAACAACACTGAAAGTCTTTGCCGATCAAAGTCAATTTGATAGTCCAAAGAAAAGGATCTCTGGAGTAAGCAAGGAAATTTGCCGCTATAACGTCGAAAGGCAAGGCATACAGCCCGCAATATAGTGAAATAATTCTGAAAAATGAGAACTAATTGTGGATGTGATGTTGTCCATACACATCTTTTGCAATAACCTCAAACAATCCCTAAAATGAGTAGGTTGAACGAGGTTGGGTTCTTACGTCGTGTCAATTCGAGCAAGAACCACCCTATATACATGGGGACCCACTACCATAGGGACCAATCCTACAGCTTCTAGGGGGTGTCCGCGCTGAAAAAGTAGTAAAGAAAATGGGTGAGCTTGGGAAGGGACTTTTGCGTGAGTACGAACTCCATCGACACCTTATGTTGTCCCGATGCTGGTCCTCGTATTTCGCCACTTTTTTAGCAGCTTTCAACTTATTTTGCGTTGAGCGGTCACAGTGAGAAGGGATGAGAAACTTCAAAAGAGAATTCTCAAATTCAAAATTCACGATATGTCATTCGAATTTCGGGATAAGAGACGTTTCTCATTTTCAAGCACTGAAGTAAATACTGAGTTATATGTGCACGCCACACTGATCTCCTTCGATGATAGATCTTTCTCGCTCAAGGATCTGCAGCCGATTCTAGTACTTCCTGAGCTGTGCGACCAAGACTTGACTCAATCATTACGCAGCAGACGTTTCGGCACTTTCGTCTTCTTCGGAACCTGGGAAGAGGAAAGCGTCCAATATACTATACGTCCCAGTTCCATTTCAGCCTACAGAAGATTTCAACGGGTTCGTAAATTACAATCAGCAAATGGGAGCCGCAATACTAACTAACCTCTGGGGTAGTCGACCCGAATGGTTCACCAATCAATCAGGTTTTAGTATATGAGGTTTAGTTAGGGTGAGCCCAGGGACAACCCGTTGAGGGACCTCCAGTGGGTTATCTACGTAAAATGGAGCCAATGGATCAGGCGCTCCGCATAGCAGAAAACAACGGCTCCAAAACATTAAGTTTCTGTTTTGGCCACAGGCCATAGTCGTCACAGATGTGGACACAATTCCATTTTCTGTTATATTTATTAGGTTGATGTATAAGTTTTTTTCTAGACTTTTTCGTAAATATCTCAATAGCGAATCAACCTGAAGACTAGAGATATGCACCATACACTGCTTGACGTCAACGCTCAGGCAGCTTGTCGATTCCTTCCTCTCAGAAGACAGAAGGACGGGGCTGGGACTTGAAGAAGTCGTCGAGTGCCTTTCTGACCTCGTCACCTGTTCCAAACTTTGTTCCACCCAGAGATTGCTGCAGATGGTTGAACGAGCATTAATCAGAAGGAGCGAGGTAGGGAATGCAAGGGGACTGGGCGACAATCAGAAACCGTACTTCTCCAACTCGGTGTGTATCGCCTTTGCGGTGTGAGATAGGGCATTGTATTGGTGGAAGTAGATTTCCGCATTTGATTCAGTAGTATCGACATGATTTTGCAATTTTCGCAGCTGGGTAACGTATGTGAAAGCGTCAATCGCCCGTTCCTGCTCCAGCAACTTCCAGCGCTCAATGCCTCTTCTGGACCACCAACGGGACAGGATAGCCTTGTTAGGGTTAAGATCGGCTTATAGGGTGGCTTGTGACTGTTTTCCTCTGTCGATCCACTGCCGCTTCCTCGCAAGGTTCGCGTAGAGGACACTTCACATCTCCAGTGATTATCGAGTTGAGAAGGTGGAACTTCTTCTGGAAAGTGAGGAGAGAAGTGCAGGTGGCCACCTTCCTTAATAGGTCATAAGCGACCAGTTCGTGTGGGACATATCAACTAAGCTTTGTTACTTTGCCGAGCTGCTCCATTCCACGTGCAACCGTCGACTGATTGTAGCTGAGTATGATCGCCATTCCTGTGGTGGTTAGGTAAGGATCCTCCTTAACGGTGGAATGCAGTGGTTCCAATCCAGCTCCATCGGCCGACCCGAGTTCGGAGCATCTTCGATAGAGAAACCTCTTTTCCTGGATTTGGCAAGCTAAGTCTTGCGTTGCGGTAAGATATGACATCATCGCCGTATGGTTCCACTAGCCTGCTATGTGCTCCCTTTGCATTTCAGCAGAAATCGTGGACCAAAACGAGGCTGTGGTGCAGGTACATCCTTTCACAGTGGTAATTGTGTGGCAGCTGAGGTGATGAACAGGTCATACACCCGTCACGCACCCACGATGACGAAATACGAATAGTCATGCAAACGAAATACGAAAGAATCAAACACGGAGGGGGGGGGGGGGGGGGGGG